TGCTAAAAATAAAGGCTGACAAAATACAAACATTAAAAAAAGACTTCTAAAGTTCTAAAGTCTAAAGTTTTATTAAGACAAAGCAGTGCACAAAATAAACAATGTACTTGACAGGATCAGATCCACCCATCTTTTAGCTTGTCAAGAAAAAATTTCCCAGCCCCCTTTGTACTTCTTGACAAAAGTTCTTTCTGTCCCATCTCCAGAAATGCACTAACAGCCATGAAGACTCCTTAAAGTCTTAAGGGTAAAGGACAAGATAACAGGATATGTCCTTTCCTCCATCTATGACCCTCTTTAATTTCAGTGAAGACTACCTCTTCGCCCATTAGCCCTCTCTCAGACAAAATGTGAAAGACTGAAACCAGCCCAAAGATTCCTAGGTATCTTTTCAGTGGGTTGCTACTAGCATTCTAGGGTCCTTCTGGGTAACCTGATTCTATATGGGTCTGTGCCTTCTACTGTCTTTGACTGGACTATTGTACAATTCTGTAAATTATGGAAAACCGTAATGCATGCAAATGATCTGCATTCATAAATGTTACAATGAATATTATCCTGTGGAGAGACAATTGGTCCCATTTCTAATAGATGACTCCACACTTTACACATTATGGCCCTGTGGCTCCTGACCAGTTTTACACATATGAGTAAGTTAATTTCAGCACTCGGTGACTGCCTACGTGTCTGATCTTTGGCTCTTTTGAGCTAGCTGTAAAATCTTACATGAGTTGCATCCATGAGTTAAATAAAAGCCTTTGGCACATTCATACAGTATTTCTGCTGGTACTAATCAGGCCCTCCCTACCCTGCTTAGCTTCTGAGATTAGACAAGATTAGGTGCATCCATGGTGGTATACACGGCTGCAGTCATACTATGTATTTCTATGACAGTCATGATCACTATTTTGAAAATTATCCTTTAACATGGCCATGGTTTATTTGCCTCAACAGAATAATCAATATTTCTGTTTTCTAATAAGATATATGACATGGAATAACAGAAGAGCCACTTCATTATAAGGGCAACCATGAACTAGGGAGAAAGGCTAGATAATTATATAAAAATAATCACCCAAAATGGGCATAAAATGAAAAACAAACAAATGTAAGATATATAGATATCATGATCAATTTTCTGCTTTTAAAAATTCTTCCTTGGGGCTGAAGAGATGACTCAGCAGTTAAGAGCTCGGGCTGCTCTTGCAAAGGACCAGGGTTCAATTCCCAGCACCCACAAGGTGATTACCATCCATAACTCCAGTTCTTGGGGGATCTGATGCCCCCTTCTTACCTCTGCAGGCAGCGCACAACATGGGTGTACCTACTTCCATGCAGGTAATATACTCAGACACAGAAATTAAAAATTAAAGTATTTTTTAAAAGTTCCTCCTTGTACTTAACAAAAGAGCAACATATACCTCCATTACAAAGCCATCCAATGCCAAAGAGAGATTTTACAAAAGAAACAGTGTCTTTCTTTGTATAGCTGAGGTTTTTGTTTTGCTTCTCTTTGTTTTGAGACAGGGTCTCACTATGTAGCCCTGCTGGCCTGAACTTACTATGTCGATGTGATTGGCCTCAAACTTGCAGAGATTCTCCTGCCTCTGCCTCCACAGTCCTGGTATTAGAGGTGTACACTACCACTCCTGGACATACATGATTTTTGTTGTTGGTGGTGGTTTCTTTGTTTAAATCTCAATCCTCAAATAGGCCAATAGCATAGACTGAACTGTGTATCTGGAGGCATTTCCCTAAGGCAGTGGTCCAGAAGCTGTAGTTGCACAGAATCACCCAAAGGTGATAAATGGCTGGTCCCTATCATTATAGCCTTGATGTCATCTCATGATCAGCATTGCTTAGGGTTGACACACAGCCTACCTAGAGTCTTTAAACCAAAAAGTCCGTCAATGAGCTTCAGAAAGCTGGTAAATGAACACTGTGTATATGCACTGAGGTTAGGGATTCCATAACTTTCTCCAGATTTTCAACTCGACCTCAAAAATGTAAATCCAGAGCACTCTCCAGCTTCGCATTATCCCCTACAGAACTATCCAATATGCAGCTAGAACTGAAAACCTCAGGTCAGAGCACAATGTAGAGCAATTTCCTTAACTGGGTTTTTGTCATTTGAACTAAGAGTTTTTGAGAGAATATTATTTGTAGGAATGTTTTGTTGTTGACAAAAAGAAATTAAAATTTGGGGGCTAGATGCAGTGGCTCATGTCTGTACTCTCAGCACTCAGGAAGCAGAGGCAGGAAGATCAGGAGTTCAAGGTCACCATCACCTACATATTGAGCTCAAGGCCACCTCAGGCTATATTGAGACCCTATTTCAAAAATAAAACAAAATGAAACAAATTCATCAGATTTTGTTTTTATTTTGGCATCACTAAAATACAGTTAATGAAAAATTCTCTTTCTCATTTTAAAAATATTTTACTTATTATTTTCATTTTATGTATAGGAGTGTACTGCCTGCGTGTATGTAAATGCACTCATGTCATGCAATACCTGCAGAGATCAGAAAAGGGTTTTGGATTCCCTGGAGCTGAAATTATGGACAGTTTTTAGGTACCATGTGGGTGCTGGGAATCAATCCCAGGTCCTCTGCAAGAGCAGCCAATGCTCTTAACCACTGAGCCATCTCTCCAGCTCCTCTCTTCCTTTCTTGATGAGAAGGAAGCTATAGATAAGTCACTGATGTAATGGAAAACACTGGGCACCATATTTTCACTTAAAATCTAAATTTCAAGCCTGAATGAAATGTGTAATCCCAGAGGTAGAAGGACTATAAATTTAGTCTGTAAATACAACCAGGCCATGTCTTAAAAAAGAAAAATAGAGAGACAACATGAACTATCTTGACAACCC